AGCAAAATCTATGATTATCTTCCAAGTAAACTCATATTAAGCTGATGAACGATCTGGTAGAGAAATAAACATTAGTGATATATTGAGGAAGACAATGACATGTTATTAGAAGCTTACATATTCAAAATGAAATCGAAAGTCATGTCACTTTATTTCTTACATAATTTATAGAATATCATCTACATAAATTTCCCCCGCCATTGTAATGACAGTTGCATATCATTTATAATATACAATATAATTTCTAGGTTCAACTAACATTTGCCAAGTGCTATAATAATAATAATAATAATACATTATATTTCTATAGCACTTATTACAATGTTTCTAAGCGCTTTACAAAGTTGTACTTAGATAATAATACATTCAATATTAACTATAATTAATATATACTAATCAACCTACAATTAATTCAAAATACATAAGCGCAAAACATACATTTGCAATTCGAGGATACACAGAAATCAAGAGTTGCTTGATTTGGTAAGCCAGCCAAGCCAAGATGGCATTTTGCCCGCAGATACGTCTTCATACTGTACATGCGATTATTGTTGTTTTACGTTAAATGCTAAGAAAGTAATGAGAAGAATGCTAAAGTAATAAATGTTCATCTATTCCGTTTATGTTATTAACAAATCAAGTAATTAAGGAAGTTCCTTTCATAGTTAATCTTTGCATTCCCAGTGTATGACCACATCTATGTACAGCCAAATGAGTTTCTGCTAATAAGCCAACTGGTTATATGTTCTACCGTATTGGCCTATATCTACCATGTCTACATCTAAGTCTACTATGTAATCTGTGTAATTTTCCGTTTCAGTTGAAATATGTATAAGGTCGGAATATCAATAACGGTACTAAGAAAAATGACATAAGATAACATATATGATAGGGCGCCGCTCAGCTGGCGACCACCATCAGCATTTTGTCTCCTATTTTTTCGATAGTTTTTGTGTTTATTCTCCTCTAAGAGTCAGAAAAGTGTCGTCAAACATGTTGCCTCAAACAAGAAAAGTAACGGTAACCATGTTGCTAATGTTTCTAATACTCGGAACTGTGTATTCCACGACTTTTGCGAGCCTCGTCTACACCAGTCTCGAACTTCTCAACCTACGGCGTTCTGCACCGACAGCTAAACCAGCCGACTAAAACAAAGGAAATGGTGTTTGACTTTCGGAAAAAATCAAATAAACACGATCCGTTATTTCTTCATAATAAGGAGGTTGAACAGGTGAAGGAGTACAAGTACCTGGGAAGCATAGTTACCAACACTTTAAACAATTTTGTATTATTTATGTGAAATGACGAGATCTTTTCTGTTCTGAAATTGCTTGCTTAATTGTTCATATGTTCATATTATTGTACTCTGTTTCTCGTATCATTGTAACGCTGGTGGAAAGCATATTTCCACATTGTGGACGAATAAACTCAAATCAAATATATGACATATGAAAAGATGATATGGATAAAATCAGAATTATAATCACAAACATTACAAAGAACATTATTATCTTGAACACCGAATGCATCGTAGGAAAACACGTAGCAAATAATATATATGTTCTACCGTATTGGCCTACATCTAAGTCTTTTTTATAATCTGTGTAATTCAAAACATTATAAACAGTTAGAGATATTTTTGAGATCTTGTCAAGAAACTGTCTTAAAATAAAAAGTGACACTTGTTTTAACTACTATTCTAAAATGGCGGTTGGTACAGAAATAACAACGAGTGTAATTGTAGCTTTCTAATTGACATAATTCGATTCTACTGCTTCAAATTAAGATTTTTTGTTTAAAGTATAGTAAATTGTTAAAAAATAATGTTATAGGATTGATCAAACCTCATATCTTTTTGACAGATTAAAGTATAACAATACATTAAAATTGCTCCGGTTATAATATGTGACTTTTGAACTACTAGAATCGATTGAATTTCTATATCCGGCCAGATATCTTGCCAAAAGAAAATTCAAAAGTACATAAAAAACATCCCGCTCTGCATGCAATTCGTGTAATATTTACAAAAATTAACAATGTTGAAATGTTGAAATTATAAATGCGGTGTTTGGATACAATATGGTTCGGTTTAATGATCATGAAGGTTATGTTCATGACTCTTTTCAAATATGCAGGCAGTAGATAATGTATTTTTAAAAAGTCAACTGATTTACTTTTATTTGCTTGCGACGTCTTACGTCTACAGACGCTTCATCAGGCCGACCAAGCCGACGTTCATCGACCACGTCACCGTGTTCATGGGTCAACAATCATTTGGCGCTAAAGACCAGTCACCCTGATGAAGGGTACCGGAGTGGATCTGAAACGTCGCAAGCTAAAATAATGTAGGTAAACTTGACTTACAATTGGTCCGGTTATAATAAGTAACTCTTGCAATAACTAGAATTGATCGAATTTCTATATCCAGGTATCTTGCCAAAAAGAAAATTCAATTCTACATTAAGAAACATCACGCTCTTCATGCTATTCTTGCAATATCTTAAGAGATTCACATTAATGAAATTATATGTGCCGTGTTTGGAAACAGTAAAGTTCAGATAATGTTTATGAAGGCTTTGTCTATGACTCTTTTCAACCATCCAGGCATTACATAATATATATTTAAAAAAGTCAACTAGATTATTTTTGTGTTGCTTATGACGTCTTACGTCTACAGACGCTTCATCGGGCCGACCATGCCGACGTTCCTCGACCACGTCACCGTGTTCATGGGTCAACAATCATTTGGCGCTAAAGACCAGTCGCCCTGATGAAGGGTCCCGGAGTGGACCTGGGCCCTGTTTCATAAAACTTGATATCAGTAACAAGTTACAAGCTACTGTTATAAGCTACTGAAATCATGGCATCTGATTGGCTGAGAGCAAACTTGATATCAATAACAAGTTACAAGCTACTGTTATAAGCTACTGAAATCAAGGCATCTGATTGGCTGAGAGCAAACTTGATATCAATAACAAGTTACAAGCTACTGTTATAAGCTACTGAAATCATGGCATCTGATTGGCTGAGAGCAAACTTGATATCAATAACAAGTTACAAGCTACTGTTATAAGCTACTGAAATCATGGCATCTGATTGGCTGAGAGCAAACTTGATATCAATAACAAGTTACAAGCTACTGTTATAAGCTACTGAAATCAAGGCATCTGATTGGCTGAGAGCAAACTTGATATCAATAACAAGTTACAAGCTACTGTTATAAGCTACTGAAATCAAGGCATCTGATTGGCTGAGAGCAAACTTGATATCAATAACAAGTTACAAGCTACTGTTATAAGCTACTGAAATCAAGGCATTTGATTGGCTGAGAGCAAACTTGATATCAATAACAAGTTACAAGCTACTGTTATAAGCTACTGAAATCAAGGCATTTGATTGGCTGAGAGCAAATTTATCATAAAATTAAGCATTTTTTATAGATAAAAAGTTTTATGAAACGGGCTCCTGAAACGTCACAAGCTAAAATAATAAAAGTATTATGCATTGTTTTCTATATAGAGGAAGCAAGTCACTTGACTTGATGAAGATTCTCTGGGGATTCTTAAAAACTGAGTGCTTTCTGGGAAACATCCATTATTATCTTTACGAGGAACAGAAGCAATATTTTCTCCGGGAATGTATCAATAAGAACGAGTTGAGAAATCAGATCTTCTTCGTTACTTATGATTCCACCTACATGGCTGTTATCCGGCGATTGGTCAAGATGTTGACTTTTACTTCCATTTGTCGAGTCCTCCTGGGTTTTGGAAGCCGTGTCTCCTGTATGCCCATCTAGAGGAGTGTTGTAACTGCTTGCTGTAGCTTCCTGAAGTACCTGTATGTCAGTGTGTCCTTTGGTCCGGTCCTGTTCTAGAGAGGTGTCATCTCTATTAGAGAGTTGCTGATCATTGTCGTCTTCGTTGGCACATTTCGAATCGATCTGTTCTTCTGCTACACCTGACCGGCAGCAAGAAAGAAAAAAAAAATTTCCCCTTTTTTTTTCCATCTCAATTGACATCGAATCGGAACTATCATAATTGTGTAGAACTTATCGCATTGAATTTCAAATGTCTTGTATTTTTATAGTATTAGAAGAGAACTTGATGTTACTAGTCAGCATCTGTTTGGATTTTTGTGTGTGCACAGCTATTTTTTCTGCATTACGTCACCTTGGTATCTAAACACATGGGCCGTATTGCACACCAAGTTCACCAACTATAATAGTATGTTGCTGAAGTGTTGAATGGGGTCCTTATTACGAAACTACAATCGTTATTAATGAAAATAAACTTTACCTTCGCTGAGATACAGGTCTGCAAGGTTGACCAACTTGGCAGCGTGCAGTGCCTTCGTTAGCTCAATCCGCTCATCTTCCCTGGACACACCTCTTCTCCATTGTTTCAGTATATGGCGAGTTCCATCACTGGTAATACGGTTGAACCTCATATTGGTCATGAGCGCTCTCTGTATATCACCTTGTAGGATTCCCAGCTGACCAGCAAGGCTGTCGATCTTGGCTTCATCGTAAAGATCGTCAGCTATCTGCTGTAATATGCCTGCAAACTCATCATCTGGGGGCTCCTCTCTAGAATGGTACATGGTAACAAAAAAGACAAACATGGGGCGGTCATAGAACGTAAGTATGACGTATCAACTTAAAAAGTAATTGAAATCTTTACTTTGGTGAAGAAAAAATAGCGGGAAAATGCGTTCTTCCGGTGATGAGACCATGCTCAAATTACTGATTATATATTCATGAAAGGATTTCACTTTTAACTCTAATTACCATAGACTTTAATGCAGCCAAATTCTCATTTTTGTTTTGTTAATGAGTTATAATCTTTTACTCACTTTTGGTTCTACATAATCACATGTAGGTGGTCATAACATTTATAAACATGATTTTGCATCCATAAAACATAAGCGCTGCCGTACTTGTATAATTGTTATTGACATTTTAGCACCACTCATTTAACACACAAAAGTACATTCCATAACAGTGTTGTCACAATAAGATAAATAATGCGTCCATTGTCATGTTAAGAGTAAATATATTTCATCTCACCCTGATTGTAATATATGACTCCTTCCCAGTCCTCCGGTTGAATTATCCACAAAAGATGATGTGCCTGTCACGACGGAATGAAGTAAGTTTGAATAAAGAAAAAAAAGAAAAATATTTTTTTACTGATCTTTATCGTTCAATGTATCTCTATGTGTTATTTTAACTTGTAAAGTATAAATAATGCACAAGCATGTAAGCTCTAGCGTCCTTGGATAATATAATCGAATGGTGTTACTTTTGGCATAATGACAACTAAAACAAACAAGACATATATCAATTTAGATTGCGGACCATATTAGACTTGATAAGCTTCACATTATCAATATTTTAACAAGTAACCAAAGATGGAATAGGAGTCATGTAGCATATTGTAGATATCAAAATAGGAGTTGAAAAGGGAAAATGAGATTGGAAAGTTAAGTCTTACCACCCTGAGCTTGTTTTCCAGAATTCACCCAAGGAATGAAACTCCATTGATGTGTCTCTGCTTTCTTCTTCTGCTCTGCTGATCGTATCTCACTTTCTAGTTGAATTTTGGTTCTCAGCTTCCAGGTCTCACGCTCAAGTTGCTCCAAAAGCTGTTCCTTATAGTCATGCTCCTTCTTTAGCTCTTCAACTTGCTGTCTTAGAGTCGTCTCATTTCGTTCTTTCTCCCTTACGGTTTCTATCAAAGTGTCTACGCGTTGTTGCTGAGAGTCGAGTTTCTTCGTCATATCTGCTGCCAATGAGCGCTTCTCTTTCTCAGATCTTGCTCTGTCTTGCTTTCTTCCTTTCTCTAACTCTTTAACTTGTTGTGTCAGCGTCGTCTCATTTCGCTCTTTGTTCTCTACGGTTTCTGTCAAAGTGTTTACATGCTGTTGCTTAGAATCGAGTTTCTTCCTCATTTCTTCTGCCAATGAGCGCTTTGCTTCCTCAGATCTTCCTCTGTCTTTTTCAGCTTTTACTCTGTCTTCCTCTCTTCCTCTCTTTAGCTCCTCAACTTGTTGTGTTAGAGTCGTCTCATTTCGCTCTTTCTCTCCTACGATTTCTGTCAAAGTGTCAACTTGCTGTTGCTTAGACTCGAGTTTCTTCGTCATATCTGCTGCCAATAAGCGCTTCTCTTTCTCCGATCTTGCTCCGTCTTCTTTTCTTCCTTTCTTTAACTCCTCAATGTGTTGTGTTAGAGTCGTCTCATTTCGCTCTTTCTCTCCTACGATTTCTGTCAAAGTGTCAACTTGCTGTTGCTTATACTCGAGTTTCTTCGTCATATCTGCTGCCAATAAGCGCTTCTCTTTCTCCGATCTTGCTCCGTCTTCTTTTCTTCCTTTCTTTAACTCCTCAACTTGTTGTCTTAGAGTCGTCTCATTTCGTTCTTTCTCCCCTACGGTTTGTGTCAAAGTGTCTACATGCTGTTGCTTAGACTCTAGTTTCTTCGTCATTTCTGCTGCCAGTGAGCGCTTCTCTTTCTCAGATCTTCCTCTGTCTTCCTCTCTCCCTTTCTTTAATTCCTGATTTTGCTCTTGGACCTCTGTGAACATCTTCTGATTTTCTTCTTTCGCCTCTTTCACCTCTTTCTTGGTTTTCTCATAGAACAACGTACATCGTGGATTCGTGCACATCTTCTTCAGATCATTAGCTGCTAACGTTCTGTCGCCTTCATAAAGGCATCCACGTAGAAGGTCAAGCAAATGCAACTGGTCGTCATCTGAGAGAGAGCCACCAGGTTTAGGTATTTCGTATATATCAGTGATCCCGAGCTGCTTCAATTTATTTCTCGCTTTGGGGACGTCTCCGTAAGAAAATATAGCAGATGGAGGGACGCGGCCTATTCAATAGAAACATATTCAATGAGTTAAACTCGCCATAACGTCCAAACTCATGATATTTTTATGACATCTACATACCACACCTACGTCACATAATATCCCTTTTTCTTCCGGGGGGGGGGGGGGGGGGGTAACACAAACGAATGGAGAAAATCTGAAAATCTGAAATGCTTCACTCAAAACCCACATCTTCCTTCAGACATTTAAATGCTAACTTTATTGGAGGAGCTCGAGCCTTTGAATGTTTTTGAAACAGATAAATGGCGCCATACAAATGATGTGAGTCATCATCATCATCATCATAAGTGTGTTTTATCAGTATTCTCAGTGGCATATAATTTCCTGCCATATTTAAATTTTAAAAAGAATGGGCAAAATCGAGTGAGAAAAGTAAGGAGGGGGAGAGAGAAATAAGGGTGATAAAGGAAGGAGACTGAAGAGGAGCCGGTATAGGGAGTAAATGAAGTGAGAAATGAGATAGTAATACATTTACAACTATGATGATGTAACTGAAATGTAATATACTTGTGGTAGGAAAATTAGTCGGGACAATCATGTTATAATAAACTGATGATGTTGTTTATGATATTATTTAAATACTACAACTTCAACGGAAAAAAAGGTTGAAACATGATTGGGAAATCTAAAGATCGGTAGTTAGTGAAAATTAATTTATAAATAAATGAATGAAATCAAGACCAAGAATGGCTCGATTCAAATAATATCGGTATTGGTGTAAGCATTGCCATAATTATATTTAACTTTAATCCCCCCATGCCTCGGCTCAAAGTTAGAAACCTGTATCCAGTACGATGAAAATGGATATTTAGCACCAAATTGCATAATATAGTATACAAGCAGATAAGTGGAAGGTATATTTCTACTTTATGCTGTTTCATCCACATATATTGTCAAAGTCGTTTCAGATATATTATTTATGTTTAAATTGTTGACTGTGGATCGTCAGATCATGGCCGTATGTCTCACGTAGATCCATGTTCAGATGATTAAGGTCGACCATGTCAACACGGGAGCGGGTAGATGTTGGGGGAATGGTACATAGTACACACCATGCCTGTTTCAAATGAATTTACAGGATGGTCTCAAAATCCCAAATCTTATAAAATCACCGTGATTATTCGATTGGTTACCAACCGAGGATATGAGATGATATGAGCATGCATATTAACTCTAATAGAAAAAAATGAATCTTGTTCAAGCATTTCAATGGATGGTATGATAATCAAATTAATGGGAAAATAGTGTTATCACATCGGCCTATCATACATATTAACACAAGCCTACACAAGTAGAGGTAAGTAACATGCAATTTACTAAGAAAGGAAAACGTATATAATTTACAAAATGAACGGAAAGGGGGCTTGTAAGAGTCTACGATATCAACGTAATCAGAATTAATGGTATGTAATTAATATGGATAATATAGAAAACTTAGATAACAATACTTGATTTCAAGGTCAAATCATGTACTGTAGCATATTTAACTCTACTCTCAATCTATTTTTCCCTATTTCTTGACTTTGACATAATCCCCTTGATCCCTCTTTTTTGTTTTGAATAAATAATTTGAATTTATTAACAACATAACACAATGTAATACAAAATGTATTCAAGTGGGTAACAAAAATAACATGTCGGATTTATCCATGTACATGGGTTACAAAGAAAAAAAAATATCCATAGTTGAACCATATGTACAAATTAAGTTAATCATATATCATGTCATATCAAACCTGTGAATTAGCTATAACTTAATAATTCGTAGAGATGTGTGGCTAGAATTGAAATTCACCGAGTTCCAATAACGTATAAGTGATTCAAATAAAGGATATTTTTAAACTTAAAAACTTAAAATGTTGTTAAAGGGAGAACCAAAAGTTAGCACGAGTGCTAGTCGGGATAGGTTTTTTCCGAGTTTCTAAAACTGTATGCAAAGTTATATTAACATTTATTTTGTCTCAATATCATATTATTTGATCCTTATGATTCATCTCTGCTTAGGAGTTTAATTCTGAGATTTTGACGAAATGATGATCTTGTTTTTTCTTCTCTTATATTTATGGGCAAATTATTCCACAGCTTTTTGTTTCTTCTTTCCCATCTGTACATATACCATATATTCCTACTAAACCTCTGCACTCAGAGAGCATTAACTCATTGATGTCTCGATTTGGTGTCTTGGGTTTGTCCATATTACATGTGTAGGTCGCCCTCCCATGGATGGGTTGTTCGTGCTCATATGGCATATATTTTAACACACACGGTGGTCCGAATTCACAAAGGAGGTTTGTCGACAAACCTAGGTTTTCGTGCGTCATATGACGCGTTTCGACGCGTTTTTACAAACAAGGTTTGTCAAAAAAAAAAAAAAAAACGCGTCAAAACGCGTCATATGACGTACATAAACCTAGGTTTGTCGACAAAGCTCCTTGTGAATTCGGGCCGGTGAGTTTGTTAGCTCAACCGGTGTGATGGAGATGTGCGCATATTCGGCTATACATGACTGTGTGGTCATCCATGCTGTGGCCGATGCATCGTTGGCCGGGTTAGTTGTTTTCTGAGAGTATTTTGTAAATAGTTTTATATATTCCATATTTGTTGTTGTATTCATGAATCAGTTATCTTTGTCACAGTATATGAGGGGGCCTTAACTTAAGAAGTTGTGCTTCAACCAAGGTCTCCTCGTTTTTCTTTATTCTACATTGTACTGTTATGATTATACTCTATTATATTTTGTCACATGTGTTTTTTGGAAGACAAATAAACTTGATACTTGATACTATATACTTGATTTATTGTATATATTATGTCCCAACTTTCTTAAATTTGACTTCATTGTGTATATGTGGATAGGCCATGTTTTTGTTGTATATCCTTAATTTCTTTCTTTCTCTCTGTTTATGTACAGGGCTTCATGGTTGAACACCATTGTGAATGAGCTACCCTGTTTTTTTTAAATATGTGAATAATGATTAACAAAAATAAATTGCTTGTCGAAATTTGATTATAATATATAAATTGAATAATAGTTGTTCCTCGTTTCTTTTATGTCCTATTCATTACTGATGAAACATCATGTAGCAGGTGTCATTATTGTTAGATACCTACACATGTAATAACAGTGCATATAACACAAAACACCAGATACGTAACCAAAGTTAAACAACCTACATAATGATTCATGCGTTAAAGAATTCTGGCTATTAACATTATTTATTTAATTAATCATTCTTTTAACTAAATACGGTGGTGTAAATCAACGCCTTGTGGTGTATACTGTGTGTATCAACAGTGCAATTTGTATTAATTCAAAATTGTTTAAAGATAAAACTTCATATGTCTTCACTTTATGATCCTACCTACCATTAAGGATTAGTGGCAAACTCACCTGTAATACTCTTTATTATCTCGATCCATTCTGGGTAAAAGACAATATCATCCGGGCTGAAGATATAAATAGAGAAATGCACCGATTCAGATTCGTTATTATTCACGTAGAGATGACGAAAGGGTTAAAGATAATAAAATGATTCTGCAACCCACCCCTTCAAAGGCCACCTCAAAGAAGATAACGTGTATGTATTTGTTATACCCTGCACTTATAATATTTGTTCATAGTGTTCTAACACGTTAACCCTATACGCAAACCTTAAGCATATCACAATGAAATTGTTCTCGCTCCGTGGGTACGCTCCATCGAATGTTTGAAGATGCAATGTTTCTCAGCACCGTAAACATTCTGTGTAGAATAGGCATTGGATGAGTGGGCAGGTGCTTCCATTTATCAATGGATGGGGAAATACTTCTTGCGCCTAAATTACAATAAATAATGTTCAGTAAAGCTTTCAGTTATAACAGGTCTGAAATGCAGTTTCACCCTTCTTTCCGTATTGTATTTAAACGGATGCTACGATCCTTTACATTACACACGCACAACAACAACAACAACATAAATGATAGGCGTATGTTGCATATACACTGCCTTTCAGAGGCGTTAAACGCGAGGACCATTACACATGATTAAGGGGACGGCTAATTCGTTTCTGCCCCTCTTGTAGTACAATGAATATCTTTTATTACTGTGAAAATGGGGGTGTGTGGGGGGGGGGGGGGGGGGGGGGGGGGGGGTAAGAGGTCACTTTTTTTTTTTTTTAGGGTCCAAAAAAAAATCGCAACGACTCAGCCGACCGCTGAATAAGCGGGGGGGGGGGGGGGGGGGGGGGGTAAGAGGACACTTTTTTTTTTTTTTTTTGGTCTCCAAATTTGAAAATTTGACATTTTGCTCCCTTGGGGGTAAAGGTAAGGTCACCTTTTTTAGGTCAACCATGGGAATAATTTTCGGGGTTTCGGGGTGTATGGGGGGTTTACATACATAAAATTACCAAAGAGAGGAGGTGACCCCCCCCCCCCCTGTGTACGCGCCTGATTACTATACCACTAATGCCTTTTTTGGCTCTATAATGTTAAATATTAACATTCTAAATATTCAGTCACTACACTCTCTTGCTAACCAAGTGATGCGGTACTGCGTGTACACTATAAACCCTGTCTCAACAGGTCCCAAAGTCAACATTCGGGGCAAGTGCTAATCTTTACAAAAGGAGGTAGGAACTTGTTTTTCTCCTACCCCTTTTTTTTTCTTGTGTGCAATCTACTCTTATATAATATACGCTTGTACAAACAAAAATAAAAAAGAATATACACTGTTGTTTTATGTAAAATGTGGAATAAACAAAACTTCACAAACTTCAAGACAGGACAATTACACTCACTATTTTGCCCCCCCCCCCCTCGAAAAAAAAAAGTTTGAAATACACACTTTCATGAATCAAAATCTGTTTCTAACTTGGGCGCGACATTCTCGAGCATACTCATAGAAAGAAATATTTACAAAACCTACACACTTTATGCCAAGGCCTTGGAAGTGTGCAGATAGGGGCTTACCGTATGAAGGGGGAAAGGTTTACGCGTATTATTATACATGTAATTCATCTTTAAAAATTGCAGTATATCGATAAGTTTTAAGCGCTCTATTCTAAATCTATTCCTGGCTCCTTGCACCTATGTAAATCGCGTATTAATACATGGAGTATTTCTTATGCGTGTTTAACTGTAATGAAGGGGTAGGGAACAATCAATTTCGCCACCCCTCTCACAACACACAAAGTGTTATATTTAGCTGAAAGCTCTATCTGCTAAGGATGGCATATGCTCAATCTCATTATCATAATTTTGAAGCAGGCTGTGATTTGTGTATGTGTGTATAATTATGTAGTCTTGATTAATATTAATTTCAATACCGTAGAAGCGTGTGAGGGAGTTTTTTTTCTCAAACGGTCGCTACTCTCACTCGCCTTGTAATAAACATTCTTTAAAGTAATAAGATCATAAGTTCTGTAGAGAAAGTGTACTATTAGGAATGAACTGTTCTATATATATGAGATTCGTATTATCTTCTTTGTTTGTGCTTTTTAAAAATTGCTCAAGAAAAGTGTGATTCAAAACCCATTGAGTATTCTTGGCAGTCCTCCTTTTCTTTATTCAACCTTTACCCTACCCTTCTACCTTACCATGCCTAATAAGTGATGAACACATCAATGGATGTACAAATAAGACGACAGCGTATCTTTTTTTTTTAAAGGAAATATACAAACATTGCTGTTTGGAAATATTATGATTTCAGCAAGCAAATACTAGTCTCTCTCTCTCTCTTCTCTCTCTATATCTCCTAACAACTTTGTAATGGGGATAATAGCATAAAAATGAACTTGCTAATGAACATGCTAATTAACATGTTCCTTATCATGTTTATTTTTGTTGTTTTATCAGCATTTGTGTAGAACCTTATTTCTATTGTGCCATACTCTCTTTCTGCTCGTTCCCATGCAATTTCATGATATTTCGATAGGTAAACACGATATAACGAACTTCGAAAAGAGAATTCGAAAAAGGGCCCTGCAATTCTATTCTTATAATAGTATCATATAGTTATTCATATACTAATTTCCTCAGAGTTTGCATTGCGTTCTGAACTGCCGCATTGTCAGCTCTAACAGTGAGTTCCAATAATTTGTTGGACAGGAGCTTGATGGTGATTTATTTCCCTCTTTCGTTAATGTGTAATGCATTTATCGATAGTCATATAACTAACTAAAATGTGTCTCAATAAAACATGAACAAATCTAACAACTCATGTAGTTTTGAGGCTAATAGCTGCATCTTCTTACAGGGACCAAGATCTTGGAAAAATACAGATTTTGTATGAGGTCATGTGACATTCGACTACCTCGAGTCATCCAGAAACGGTGCATGCTACTGCTAATGAAAAATGAATTGACTAATAATTAATTTCTTTGTAAAAACTTGTTTTAAAAGACGAAGCTGATAACAAGTGTGGTATCTTGATATTTTAAAATTGCTCCCCCCCCCCCTCCGCCCAAACTTCACGTTACTATATAAGCGAGTGAGCAAAGAGATTGAACGGTATATTGTTTCATGAATTGTAACCCTAAACAAAAAACACAATTTCTTATGCATTTTACCCATAGAAATATCCCAAGGCACCTCCTACTGATGTCAAAGACGTATAAGTATTGCCATTGGGGGATGAGACCATTTTGTGTATACATTTTGCGAGTGATTGACTCATGGAACCTCCAACTTGGCGCTATTTCATTATTTGAACAAAATCGTAAATGATGAGGTGATGATTGCCCGAAAAATGGAAAGTCGAAATACCCTGCAATCGGACAGAAGACTTTCCAGTTTTTAATTACACTCTCAAAGCGACCATGATTTTGAAAATGATTGTGTTTTAAAACTTAAAAAAGCCGTTTTCCGGTGCACCGTTTGCTTTGTATTCTGGTGCCTATTCTCATTCCGGGAAATGTTTGTTCTACTTTTCTTCCTCTTCTCTTTCTTACCTTTGTACCTCCCTCCATCTTCTGCCTCTCCCGTATTTACACCATTGTTGATAAATGATTAAAACAAAAGTGAGTTCATTTCCTTTCGCTCTTTTTTCTTTCCTTCAGAATGCCACATGTTGTGAAACTTTAAATAACTTCGTCGTTCGAAAAAAAATTATCTTCGAGATTCCCGAAAATTACCTGCTTTTCTGGACCAGTTTAGAGTACCTATATATAGGTACTCTAGACCAGTTCTCGTGATAGCGCCATCACTCGGCCTAATGCGTATAGTCGGCGAATAAAACAATCAATAAAAAAGGTTCCAGAACTCGACTAAGCGTAAATTGGTGTGGGGTCTAAGATGAGCATATTTTGATATTTTTTGTGTGACGCTATTCTACGATGAAGGTGTCTAATTTCCTGTACCAATTAGGCTTTTACGGAACAGATTTCATGAATCCGAAAACTCCCGAACTTGGAAGCTTTGTCAACATGCTTGACGATGCCCTTCGTGTTTGTACTTTTGCTATTTGCTATTCTTTCGCTTTTTTTGCTGAATTAGGTTTGCTAAATCGCGCTTTATTTGCAAGGTGCTATGAAAAAGATCAATTCAGCAACCCACCCAATAAAAATAACTAGCTATAAAGATGTTCTTGAAGTTATTGTTTAATATCGTTTTGTTTTGTGTATGAAGAAATAAGAGGACCTAGTGACTGAGTTTTCTGTTAATTTTTATTACCACATTGTTTGTTTCAGTCCTAATTGATTAATCCTTAATAATTATCGTTTCTTATTATTAATATGCGCATTTATGGAATTTTGATCAAAGCGCTAAAACATGTGTCTTCTATTTTCGTGAATGTTTATTTTCCTCAGATTTCCAATGACGTATTATGTGATTTTGTTTCAGTCAAATATATACGGCTCATGTGAATATGGAGTGCGAAAAAAAAATAATAATACTCACTGAACTAATAGCACCATACATCCAACTTTCCCAGCCATGTCTTGTATCTCTTTTTTAACTTTACCTGGTAAGATGAAGAGAAAACGTGTTTGATACATTGTGCATGATGAACATGTGGGATACTATGAGCAAGACATGTAGGCTACATGCAGAAGTAGAGAGAGAGAGAACAAAGTAGACACGTGTGTGTAGTTCCATAAGTTGCATCCAATATTTCAGAATAAACTAAATAAACACGCATGGATGAATTTTTTGTGCAATACAATTTAAGGAAACCACACAAAATAATATTATGTGATAGCAAAAAAAGTGAACATGATATTTTTAATGTAAAGAATCTTACCTGGGTTCGTCGTGAAATCATACTAAGAAGGGGGAACCAAAATTGTGATAAATATATGGGTATATGTAGGCCTATAAGTATAATGCCATGCAAGAATTTTGTAAGGATTGCAGTGGTCAGTAATGGTACAATTCCAAAACCAAAAATAGAAGCACCCATAACGACATCAACAAAATGAGGATGTTTGAAAAGCCCAAGACATCACTTTCTTTAATGAAATTTGGGCATCTATATATCAACACTGTTTGAGCTATATGATATTGAAATGTATTTGAGTAATTGCTTTTTATGCCCCCTTATTTGTACTCCATACGCTTTTGAGAGAGAAAAGGCTTAGTTATATAAATAGTTGTAGTTCCTTTTTAATAATCCCAATATGGTGATCTGACGATTAACAATGTTCGAAAAACCTGTTTCCAAGATCTACATCCACACGTGTATGTTCATGCATAATACCCTCCTGGTAGTCTCCAAACTAATTACATCAGACAGGTCAGGTATATAGTCACAGTGAAACATACACATCATCTAACTAACAATCGTTTCATATATCTGACATATTAAATCGATCAACGGCTTACAAGGCATTCGTTTGTTTTTATTCCATTCTTTACAACAACAAAAAGATATACGGCGCTCCATGTGATTAATGTGTGCCATGTAATATGAATTATAATGGTTTTATTTGTTACGAGAACGCAAGTGTTCACATAATTTCCCCTTCCAGATGATAAATGTTGGATGATGTCAATAGTTCATGGGTTACTCAGGCGTATGTCCTGGTTTATACCTTCAATATACAAACAATTAAAATGCTCAAGACAACTCCAAAAATAGCAAACACGCCCTAACATTAAAAGCGACTGAATTGTATTACATTGCTAGATAACGTATTCATGATTGCCATTAATTAGTGTAATCTACGAAAGTGAACATAACTTTAAGCACAGTTTGGATAGTCTCGCAATTTTATACCTAACATCCATTTTTTACAATTTTTTGCAAATTTACAAACACGCTAGTTGCGTCTGATTTCCGTTATTTTAGGCAATTGGTCATAAGCGCATGTTCAGAAAGCCAATGATGGAAGGAACAAATAGGAAATGAAATAAATTATTTGTTTAATCCGGCATATGTAGAGTGTTTTGAATTTCTACACATTGCTGGTTTAATGAGGAACAAAGAGCATTGCGTTGCTTTAGTAATACCAAAGACAGAATATGGTCATAAGATTCAACATTTTACCAAAAACATACCTCCGACTTTATGATTAAAGGATAAGGAACAGAAAACATTACATAGTTACAGTTTTATCTTCGGGGCTTAGTTTCATTTGAATTGTTTTCAACAAACAAACACAAATAATCAACGTTGCATTTTCTTTCAATATACAAACCCGCATTGAATGTTTTCGTGATGACAGATATAGAATCAGTCAGATCCTCCTGATCCTCAGTAGATGTTTGTCGAATCTCAGCATGCTTGCTCGGCTTAACGTCTCCATGAAGAGCGCGTCTCAGAGTAGGGACTATGGCGGGCGTATACCCGCACATACCAACGACAAGCTTATCAGGAAACACCACTCGTTCATCATCACAAGATACAGCCTTGCCTGGTTTGTACGACAAGATTTCATGTCGTAATGTAGCTATTCTCGTCTTCAAATCCGCGTTTGAAGAAGCCATTTTGAATGACTACCAGCCTAGCTATGAATAAGTACAACCTAATGCAGTTAATTAAATCAGTATATTCTCGCAAGGCAAATGTTTACTTTTCAAGATATGCCTTGCATAGACCCCAGTGATAATTGGTTCAAAAGGACATCAACTAGTAATCAATGTATGAAATTAGATTACATTATAATTATTAATGCGGTTGTATTTGTATTAGTCGGAGCGAGCTTTTTTGGTAAAGATAGGATTAATAGACCATGCACTTTGTACGTTCAGTGTTTCCGGAGTCATTGCTACATGTGCATTAAAACCCCTGTCAATCTTATAAATTAATCCTTTAAATGAGTTTACAATTCGTTCTGGTGGCCTTTTAAACTGATGCATCCTTTCGTTGTTTTCCTATTACAGTTACATGTATTTGCATTGATCTGACTCGTGATCACTGTCCTGCCCTTTCCCAAGCCCCATTTCCCACATCCATTGTTTAATGTGTTAAAGCATCAGTGTGACGACCACACAAATATAACACATTCAGGGTAATAGGCTAACATATATAACTGATTATATATGAATGAATATTCAATTTAATTAAAATGGTTGATTAATAACATTTCATCGGGGCTACATGTCGAATTGTGGTTTTCCGTTTGTATATGTTGAAGAATATATACAATCATAACACATAGGTACATAAACAACAATGCAACGAGACAACTGCGACTGTGTCTCCTATATGCCTCCGCCCTAAATTCAGTTTAGGAAATGGATAGCTATTCGTTACATATCAGGATGAAATTGGAATGGCTATTGCATATCTGGGGGGTCGTCAACTTGATGTGGTTACCTCACACAAACATCTTGGATTAATATTCTCAAGTGATCTTTCTTGGAGTAAACATATCCAATCTGTGATATCCCGATGTGCACGGTTTTGTGGCTTTGTGCGTCGGATTGTAAACCTCAGAAATACAACCGTCCTTAAACGATTATACTGTACCATATGCAGACATGTCGTTGAATACAACATCCCCGTTTGGCTGCCACACCAAAAGAACCATATCTTAGCTATTGAGGATTCCATGACATTTGCTCCGGCGACAATTGCTCCGCTGTAAATTTCATACACTAAACGAATGGCTAACTTCAACCCTGGATTCAACACTATACCCTACCCTAAACCTAACCCTAAACCTAACATAAAACCCTATTGAAACCCTAACCCTAACCCTACATCTTAGACGAAATAAAGCCCGGAGCAATTGTCGCAGGAGCAAATGTCGTGTCACCCTATTGAGGCTATTCAAAGACGATTTACTTGTTCTTGTTTTCCATACCACATTTCTAACACTCTTACATACGAACAACATCTGGAGAAGTTAGATTTACTACTCCGATGAGTGAAGATGACAAGCATTGATATGTCTGTTTTCGTTGCTATTTTTCGATTTTGTAGGACCAATCATTTCTTCAGTTACCTCACTTTCACTTTTGAATCAGACTAACATTATGTTTACATTACCGATGGCTTGGGCTTTGTCAGTATTATTGCACGTTACAGTTTGGATGTACATATAAATCCCTAAAAGTTCGATGTGCTTTCATGGTGAATGCAATGGTTAGACTGAATTAAACTGATTGTTCCTCGATTCATAATATTTTCTGGCATGATCTTACAATATTGATACAAAAAATAGCTTCCGCATACTAAAAACCCAGTTACCTTCACGAATTGAAACGTTTTCAAATTGAAAAGGGATGTAATTTCCACTGTAAACACTTTTGATTATTGCTACAATTTACTGTTGCTTCAGTTGTTTAATTTTGTGCACTTTTAAGAGACTTGATCAGACATTCTAATAATTATAATGACAACTGAATCAAACAGTTTCATTGTGAGTCCCTAACCACCAGACTCTCTGGTGAGAGATTAATCGTAGGTGCATGATGTTGATGATGATGGTGAAAATGACGATGATGATGATGATGATGATGATGATGAAAGCCATTTTCATATATCTCGTATCTTGTCTTCCCTATGAGCATTTTGCAGGGAGTAGAGATGGTGTACATATTACATCGTGTAATCTATCCTTGCGCGTGGAGGTGTCGTGGTCTAGTGGATACGTCACCGGACTGTTGAACAAATGTTCGCGACACTAATATCCATTGGCAGTATATTATTCTACATTTGTCACAATCGACCCAGGAGAAGTTAATGGTTACCTGAAATGAATTCATTCTTTGAAACACTAGAGCGCCAAAATGGCAGCCGTACTGGAGTCGGGGTAATAACTTTGGAGCGCCGATAGGGTCACGTCTGACATACATGAGTGATATACAAGAACCGACTATCGTTAATATTATTATTAGTATTATTATTATCATTATTATAACTCTTGTTATTATTATTGTTATTATTACTACTACTGCTACTAGAACCAATATCACTATTATCATAATTATCTCCTCATTTAACGCCATTGAAAATACAAGCATGATGTGCTACTTCACGAACGCTGTATGGCATAGTTTGTTTGATATTTCAACATGTCAGTCGAGTAACCGTGGTTACGTGGTCCATACTGTGACTCTTGATACAGCATCACGAGGGTTGAAAGAGATGCTGCGAATCACCACACCCATGTTGTTTCCCCATCAAAATAAATAACATAACATACTAAACTAACTTTTTAGCATAAAGCGGACCCGTATGCCTCTTGGCGCAGAGAGAAATCAAGAAATATCATTGATGCAATTTTATGTAGCTTAATTATTATAATTCTGCATGGGTATTTTTCATTTCAAGCAATGTTTGCTCATAATATGTTATCAATGTTGAGTCCAGGATGTCTAATATGTGAAGTGTTTGTTTGTTCTGTCATGATTGTATAACGGCTTGCCCTCATCATCCCTGGGTAGATAGGAACATATTATCTAAAATCATATCTCGATCATTCAGTCAGAGTAAACTCTTGAGCGTACGTGAAAGAGAGAGAGAGAGAGAGAGGGAGAGAGAGAGAGAGAGAGAGAGAGATAGAGAGAGGGGGAGGAGGTGGGGGGGGGGGGGTCGGGTCTGTATAATTTATGTATTACACAATTGTTGATTAGTTTCGCCTTCAGGTATCAATGTATACCTTTTATATTTTTCGTAGTATGTTGGCGCTATTTCAGAGTTTCCGGCACATCCTCACATGACCTAGACATATCTTTCCTGAGCAACAACGAGCAACCCTACCACATTGTCCTCAATTTATCACTATTTCACCTACTGCTCTCTTTTAACGAATAAATAGATAAATCTGTTAACCAGCATATTTGTATGATGTCCCTTATTCTAGATGCATACATACTACTATATATATATTTTCATAAGCTGCTCAAACTTACTGATTATTCAACTTCGACGCAGCTAGGCCGGTATACGTTGGTATTGCTTGTTCTTCAAGTTAACCCCAAATGACGATTCTCATGAGAGAATGGCTAGCAAGGAAACTGCACAATTTTGAGAGAAATCGATTTATCGCCTAAGTAATCAATTTCAATATCAAGTAGGCATTATTTCAAGATGTTCTTAATTTGATTACGACTGGTTCCAGCTATTGTTTGTTGGGTGTCATTCCCTTTGAATTTTAGACACAAATAATTGACTCTAAAAACCCTTTGAAAAGGTTTGTTTCTGGGAAATGGGATCTTTTTCATTCTTTTCATTGTATTTTAAAAGAATGTTTTCTTTGATGAAAATTGGATGGTGATGTTCGATTTCCCCGAAAATTATGTAGCTTTATTTTATGTCCACATGTACAGTAACGACTTAATCATTCGTACCCTTACCAAGTTTTTGTAATTTTTGAGTATGTGTATAAATGATTTGTCCCAATTCATGTTTTTCTTGATAATGTGATATTCTAATGCTTACATTAAAAAAGGGCCCTAATTCAACCAGTTAACCTTTCATTCTTGAGTTACAAAGCATAACCCAGAAATATCAAACTTTCCAGGGGTATGAATAATTTAGTTGTTCTCTGTATGCGACATGGACCGTAATGTGACTAATCAACTTGATACGTCATAATCAACTAATAAACTTGTAAAGTTTAACTTCAATACAGCTCATAATTGGCACGTCAGCTAACGTGTGAGTATGTTTGCTAGACCAGCTAGGACTTTAAAACATATGATTGATATTTACTAAATTTCAATCTAGGGTCCTAAAGGTCGAGTATACATGAAGTGTGCGTATAATCAGATGAGTAAGTGCTACATATTTATCTAATGCATTTTGTTCTTGACTTCTTTTAAGTCGGTCATGTGATCAGTGGAAACTCGATGGAACACGTGCGAAAAGGGAATGTGAATCTTTCAGATTGGATTGTTACGGTTTTATAAACCTTAGCTTGTTCTTATTTTGGAGGATCTAAAATATAACTTAAGCTAAACAGCCTATCATTTTCTCACTATTCTCTCTCACGCTCTGGATGTATCTATCTAACTAACTAACTAAAAGTTTCTCTCCCTCTCTCTCTCTCTCTCTCTCTCTATCTTTGTCTATCCCTTTGCTGAAATTCATTTTACTTCTCGCCTAAATTTGATATCTGCACGAAGTCAAATTTGTTACTTTTTCTAACCCTCCTTTGAAAGTAAAGTTCTGACTTTGAAGACAGAGCCATATTTTATCCAGCTCAGTCAAAGTCAAGTTCTGACTTTGAGGCCAGTGTTTGACTCTGTACTGTCCTTCAGCCAGTCTCGCGCACTGAAAGTGTGATTGACCATGGTCGTGACTTTGAGAAAATATATTCTCACCAGACTCATCTAGTAAAGTAACCCCCCCCCCCCCCCTATAACCGGTCATAACGGCATCTTCGGCAGCTTGCAGCAAGTGTATGGAATATTATAGAGATAAAATTCTAAACCCTAGCCATACAAAGCTGGGCGTACGAGTTTGTTTATAACGCCATCTTCGGCGGTTTGCAGCAAGTGTAGGTAATATTATAGAGATACCCTAGCCATATAAT